ATATACATTTTTCATTTTGGATACCTTTCATCCGGACATCCTGTATATGTTGCTAGACTGGCACTAATGATAGGCTCTTTGTCTATCACTAGACTAAGACTGGTGATAAGGATTAGGTTAGGATTTGCAGATCTGTGGCTGAGACAAATGATACATGAAACATCAAACATGTGTGTAAAGGTAAATTTGTCCCTGTTTTTAACTAATTAATCACTACGCCATGCGTATGGGCGAGTGAATGTATAGATTCAAGTTTTCTTGACCTCGGCACTAATTGGAGGCGAGTGTTCAACTTCACGCCTCGGCCGTTTTATCACCGGGAAAAGAACCTCCGGTACCCATTGGAAAGGAGGCCGGATGGCCCCCAGAACCGGTCTCGACGACGTGGAAGAGAGAAAATTCTTGCTCTACCAGCCCTCGAACTCCGACTTCTCTATAGTCCAGCCCGCATCCAGTCCCAATAATCACTGCGCTATCCCGGCTCCTTCAAACGTGTGTGTAATGCTCTAAAATATTTCCGTGACAATACTAAGCCAATACTGAACACTTCTGCTGTTGATAAGAATGATACTTGTGTTCTAGAAGGCTGGTCAAAGGTAATATTTCTTAAACCGAAGAGGAAATGTTAGCCGTCGAGGCCGCTCGGACAAGCGAGACTGTTTTGGTAGTGTTATAAACAATGGGGCGTCGTTAAATAGAGCTGGGTCACGAGTAATAGTAACGGGACCATGTGACGTCATGTGCCGCCCACTCATGCGCCGTTAGATGCTTAGTGTTCGAATGCCAGTAAAGCTGTTGGGTACACTTTTGCAATTTTGGATGTAAATCCTTAATCATCGAAAGTTTCTTCTTGATCGTGGAGATATCAAGCGACAACGCGACTGATTTGCATTTGGCAGGTAGCCGATTCGAATCTCGGACGAAACACTGAATATTCTAACTGGAAATCTGTGTATGTGTGATATTCCACCTTCCGTCAATTCCATTCGATGGTATATAGTTTGCAACAGATAAAATACAGTATTATTTTTTATTGCTAGTGGGCTGGGACTGAGTCCTCTGTATTGCGGCCACTTCTGGCCTAATGTACCAGCCCCAGATGATAGGTGAGGGTGATTGTGGAGCAGTTGGTGGAATGAAGATTGGCAGGGGAAACCGAAGTACTTGGAGAAACCCTGCCCCAGCGCCACTTTGTCCACCACAAATCCCACTTGACCAGACTCGGGATCGAACCCGGGCCGCCGCGGTTAAAAGACAGTAAGTATCCTATGAAGTGGGTTGCTCTAGGCTTGTGATCGGACCCAACCCGTTCACATCCTAACACAGCAGAAATATTCCACGTACAACTCATAATAATAGGCCTGCGCTATTCGTTCAGTCCTATTATCACACACACGCATAATCGAGTTAGTTCAGATAGTAAGGTGACTAAATACAGTTTGACGACCAGAATTCGATTCCTGGTGAGGACAAAGATTTATTTTTACACCACCATATCCACGTAGACAAAGTTTCTCTTCTCCGCTGTTTCTCCACAGAACTGAGTCTCTAAATCACTCAAAAGTATACTGTTTTACGAGACCCAAAGTTTCACTGCAGCGTTCACAAGAGCCCGCAACTGATTATCGTCAGGCACACGAATCCATTGCATACCACCCACCTATTTTCTCTAAGATTCATTTTAATATTATCCTCAAAACTACTTCTCTGCCTCCTCTCTTTTCTCGTGATTTTTCCATAAAACCCTGTATGCATCCTTTTTCCATGCGTGCTACATACCACGTTCATTCATCCTCCTTGACTTGATCATTCTAATTATATTTGGTGAGCAGTACAATTTATGGAGTGTTCAATATGCAGTGTTCTACCACTTCATCTCTCTTTGGTTCAAATATTTTTCTCAGCACCCTGTTCTCATGTACCCTCAGTCTGTGTTGCTCCCTTAATGTCAGGGACCAAGTTTCACACCATACAAAACTACAGGCAAATTATAAGAGATAAAGTGGCCGGAAAAGTTGGCACTAATTTCACCGACAAGCGGAGGTCGCTCGGTCGGTATAGTTCGCTTGCGGACTAAAGCCACGAAGTTTTCTAAGTGGCCGGAGCTGTAATCACACAGTTCGCCTCCCTTCTACCGCCCTCCATGGAGTGATGCTTATATCGTAAAGAGCTCTATCTTGCATCTTCATATTTGCCAAAATCTAGCTTTTCTCAGCCGAAAATTTGCCCTAATCGCTTACATTTTGAGATGCAACTTTGATGTAGACATTGCAAAATATAAGTTTAGTAAACTTTCTTTCGAGTGAGCATTCAAGCGAAAGAATCACGATCAATTCGGGCCAATCCAACATGCAAGTTCACTTCATTACCTCATCCTCAGTACCTAGGCATTCCGTGATATTAACGGTAGTTTCAAAATTAATTAATAATCCTCAGTTTATTGTACACCTTGGCATTAGATGGAGATAAGTGGTCAGCTACATGACCCGGCGTCTTTACCCCCGGGGGTATAGCCCCTAGTACTCACTGGATTGGAGACTGAGTAGACCCCTGAGACGGTTTCTTCACTGTTAAAGGGTAGAAACATATCTTGCCTCTGATCTTTGAACTCGAAACCCAATTCGTGGGTTGCCCATCCGGTAGCTTGATCGCTATCACTACTGAGCTATTCCGGTTTCAACTTTCCGTAATTGGATATGTAAGAAAGAGGAGTCTGTTTAGGGTTTCAACTCGGAAACATCTCCAAAAATATGAATGATACTTGAGGAACACGCATCTAGTTGCTTGCTATGCGATCTTAGCAGGGCGTATAAAATGAAGACATATTTCTTTCTCGAAGAAATTCATCGGAATCACAGAACCGCGATGCCACTGCGTATTAGTGAATATGATTCTTTTTGCTTGTATTTATTGTTTTACAGAAAAAAAAAACAGGTTTATAATGAAATAATGTACGTGTCACCTTCAATCCCACACATCTGAGTGTGAATTAAACCACGATATGATGACGCATGGAGAAATGGTAGTCTACCTCCACACACTGTTAACCTTGGCACTAGATAAAGGTGAATGGTCAGCTTCTCGTCTTGGCCGATTATCTCCCAGGATAAGAGCAGTCTGTAGCCACTGAATGGGAGATTGTGTGGGCCGAAGAGCGGGCTGAGCACTCTGCAGGAGAGAGGAATCTGCTGGGAATAGAACCCAGATTCCTCGGTCGTCCAGTCACTATACCGACTGAGAAATCACGGCTCTTAACTTTAGAACCAATGGATGGATATTTATGAAAAGTGTTTTGAAAATTATACCACTAGCACATTAATATGAAGCAATCAAAACGCACCATAATATCGGAAGGGGGCACTATGCTACAGGCTGGAAGGTCGCGGGTTCGGTTCCCGATGAAGTCGTTGGATTTTTCAGTTGACCTAATCCTGCCAGCTGCACTATGGCCCTGGGGTCGACTCAGCCTGTAACAGAAATGAGTGCCAGGAATCTTCATGGGAGATAAAGGCAGGCCGGGGCGTAAGGCTGACAACCTCACCGCCATCTGTGAGCCGATTGTCTAGATAATGTGGGAACCTCGATGTCTCACAACTCTATGGGCCTGTTACAGGAATAGCTTTTATACTATCGGGGAAAGAACAATGCAAGCCACATCGACCTCTGTTATCAACGCACGCACGGTTTAATTTCTTCTTTTCAGTGACGCATTTTTGTTATGTGCAATAGCAGAAGAGAAGGAAACATGAGAACGTGGATGTATTTTGAAGAGTGTGGTCTTTGGATTGTAATGCCTTGTAGTGCGGAAAGAAGTTGACGTTTCGCGGTAACATATCGTTTCCTTCTTCATGGAAGAAACAAACCAGCAAGCAGACAACCGCGCTGTAGCGGCCGAACGAGCCCTACTTGGGCTATTGACCAGATTGTGACGTACGGCAAGAGACCTGCTTTTTTTCTCGAAGATTGCTTCCTCTCTGGCCTGATACTGGCTAATCCAAACCTGGAAAGAACTATAGGAGAGTCAGCAGAAGGGTGAACATTGGTTCTTGCATTATCTTCTCATTATTCATTTTAGAATTGGACTGTCCTACATCAGGGCCGATTCTCCATTCATAGTTCAGCTTTACTTTCGGCCCGCTTCTTGCTTGGATATTATGTTTGACCCTGAAGCTGGTGCCGCTAGAATTCTCTGAAACGTCAGGGTTTTCCGAACTACACGACTTTACAACCCAGTAGACCGTCACTGTTGTGACAACCTGAAATCCAACACGGATGTGCTTTCTTACGCAATGATATTTCGACATTTCTTTGTGTTCCAATATTTACAGCCTCCCCAAGATATTGTCGTTTAGATCCGTTGCTTGGCAAAGGCCTCGAGACAAACAACGAGCACAGCCGTTGCTATGCAGTAAACGAATAAACAAACGGCCGTTTCTGAGCAACGGCTCGGTAAACACATTCTTGCGGAAACGAACACGCACGCAACAATAGAAGAACATTGATTTCGATGTGGTCCGTGCAAAATGGTTATAAAGAAGATAACTGGGGCATTCCAGTTGAGCCCTGCAGGAGAGGCTGAGAAGAGATGGCGCTATAGTTGAGTTGACAGTTGACAAGTGTTTTGCACGGGCGGCAATGATAAGACCTGAGCGCGGGAGGCTGAAGAATATCCACTGTTAAAGCCGTTGCCAGGGAACGGTTGGTTAAGACACAGCAGGCTGGAGAAAATGCTTAGCGCGTGCTGCGGTGATTTGTAAAGTGTGGAGATTAGCGATAACGCTGTAATTACCTGTATTTCCGAGTGGTGTGTGCAAGTTGCCAATAAATCCATTCATCAATCCATACCCCGTCTACAGTCACGCACACATGACAGTATTAACCATTCTCAGTAACCGTCATCTCAGATGTAATTCTATCTCGTCATTTTTTGCAGGGTATAAATTACAGAACTAAGGCAATGTAAAATTAATAACTACAGTAAGTAAATATTTTCAACTTACACGTATCTGCCATAGTTCTTAAGCCTTCCTCTCACCAAACTTTTGCGCAGTCCGACACCTCTTCTTTCAGTTGTCCACCGGTTTCTGTAAACAAATATTAGCATGAAATAAGTTTATTTTATATGAAGTGAAGTTTTCACGGCTACTAAATATGATGAATTTTTCTCGGGCAAGCAACTGAGTCAGTCCGGACTGAATTATCAACGTTTCATCTGCCACCAGCCTTATTGTCAGTTCCAGTGAGGTAGAAACTCCGCCTGAAACGATGGATCTCGGCTTCATATTGCCACAGCTGATTGCCCAAAAATATTTATTTAGAATTAACAGTAGCCAGATGGAAAATACTTTATTGCATATTATTTCGATTTATATCGTGTTTGTCTCGACTCCTTTACGTCACGTAAGAGCCAGACCACTAGAAATAACTTGCTGAGTATTACTGTATTAGAGCAATCTCTTGCCTCGGTTGAGCACTTGATATGTACAAATATACGGTCTCGTAAATACAACACTGGCTAACCACAGATTACTCTATATTCGGGTAATGCTTGCTACCATTCAGTTCAGAAGCTTTTGTCTTGTCGTCTGCTGTCTAAAAACGTAAAAATTAGAATATGCAACACCATAATTTTTCCTGTGGTTCTATATGGGCGTGAAACTTGGTCTCTGCCATTAAGGGAGGGACATAGACTGAGGGTTTTTGAGAATATGGTGCTGAGGAGAATATTTGGACCGAAGAAAAATAAAGTGACAGGAGGCTGGAGAAAACTGCATTATGAGGAGCTTCATAACTTGTATTCTTCGTCAAGTATAATTAGAATGATCAAGTCAAGGAAGATGAGATGGGCAGGTCATGTAGCACGACTGGGGAGAAGAGGAATGCATATAGGATATTGGTAAGAAAGCCAGAAGAGATCACTATAATGACGGAGACGTAAGTAGGTGGACAATATTAAAATGGATCTTAGAGAGATAGGATGGGATGGTATGGATTGAATTGATCTGGCTCAGGATAGGGACCAATGAAGGACTCTTGTGAACACGGTAATGAACTTCCAGATTCTATAAAATGTTGGGAAATTCTTGAGTAGCTGCAGAATTGGCAGCTACTCAAGGAGGGATCAGAGTTAGTCAGTCAGTCTATGTATCGTATATTACAGTGCTTCTTGAGAAGCTCATTGTCTCCTGGCTAGTGAATTAATTGTTCCATGATCTTTATGGATTCCATGGGATCGTTACCCCCAACTAATGTCTATCTTGAACCAAAAAATCCAGTTCATAACCTCCAATCCTGTTTCTTAAATGTATATTTTAATATTATTTTCCCATCTAAGTCTATGTCTCACAAGTAGTCTCTTTCCTAGTCTTCAATTAAAATGCCGTGCTTATACGTTCTCTTCCATTCGTGCTCTATGCATCCTCAATTTTATCCTCCTCGGCTTTATAAATGTATTTGCCGCAACAGACCTTGGGGCCTAATGCTTGATGTAGAAGAAGATGATGATTTGGTGCGGAGAAGAAATAATGAAGTTCCTATTTATGAATTTTTCTCCAGCGCTCCGTAACTTCCTCCGTCTTAGGTCCAAATATATCTCCTCTTTCCCATTGGAATATGGTAGTTTTGAAATTCGACAGGCTTCAGCTGATCCACGGACCCACGATTAGGAAGCATAGCAGCAGACGGGTTCAACTGAAATAGATTCTCCTACACCGAGTCGCAATTGTTGCGCTACTCGTTCGCAGCGACAAAGAATAACAACTTTTATTAACCCTACAAAATTGGACAATTTGCCACACTGGCGATTCTATCAGGGTATTTCAAATGCGTACATAATGTTATTAGGATTCAGTACAATACGTTTTAAGGGTTTAAATTTTGTAGAACGCGCAATCACACAATTGTGAGAATCAGTGACCGACTTTCCTGTAGCGAAATAAGCCAAGTTTTTATGATGTAATCACGTACCCAAAATTGCTATCATTTTGCATAATACGTAAAATTTTGCGTGCCGTTACAAAGGAAGAACGTCGATTGAGGATGTTTGAGAAAAGGAAGAAACAAGAGGACAGAGAAATGCAAAGTGAGGAGCGCCATTATTTGCATTCTTCAGCAGATATTTTATAATGATCAAATGAAGGAATATGAGATTAGCAGGACACGTAGCATGCATTTGCGGAGATGAAAAATGCGAACAAAATTCAGTGGGGAAGTCCGAAGAGAAGAAACATGATGAAGATCCAGGAGTATATATTCATCCGGAGATAGAGACTAGCTCTATGGATTGGCCCCAACTGAATAGGTTTTACCTGAAGACGGAGACATAATCCAGTATCCGAAACGTTGTGTTTTGAAAAATAAACAGGACGGTTTTTAGATAAAGACAATATGATGGATAATGTCCAGAAACATAATATTTGTACTAATATTAAAATGGATTTTAAAATCGTAGAATATGTGTGAGGTGGATTCAACTGGCACATGATAAACGGTTGAGGATATAAATCATATGGGCAGACTTAATCTGTGTACTGATATCAAAAATTTTATCACCGTGCAAACATGTCAATGAGAAAGCAGTTCTACTCCTAGTTGCATGTAGATGACAGGTAAGTCGAAAATAGGTGGGCAAGTATACGAACTTCTTCGTGTTGATATCTCTGCCGCACACTAACATTCTGCAAGCAAATGCAGTGTATATGACTCGGAAAGAAAAAATCGAAATAAACATTTCCTCTGCGAGCCCCAGCACGTGACTAGTCATTACATATCGATGTAAGGACATTGTAATTTACTATCATCTTCTATGCACAGCAGGACTCTCGCTTCATCTCATCTTTATCCCTCATTCCCTTTATCTTTGACCTCATTCTACTTCCTCTTCTTCTTTTATAGATCAATTCCTTCTGTATCTTCTGCTTCAACTTCTTCCATTTCTACTTTTCTTCCTCCACAACGTATCATTTTTCCCCTTCCTCTTTCACTTACCTCAGCCTTCTTTCGCTTCTTGTATCCCCATTCCTTCGACTTCTTCTGTCTCAAGCCCTTTCCTTTTTTGTTCCTTTTATTCTAGCTCTTTCTCTTTTCTTTTCGATTCAAGTATTGTTTGCTTTCCCATTCTGCACACAAAACGGACCTTCTGGGAAGCCGCACATGAACGTTCACGCGTCACTTTCTTCCAATTCATATACTACTTTGAACTCCCGAAGTTTTTACAGCAAGAGCACAGGCGAAGACCTCGAGAATTCATGTGGTTCGATCTGAATGACTTCAGCTCCTTTGGCCTTTCGGGCTGATCCAACTGTCAGATTAGTTAAAACAGCACGGAATGTGCTTCGAATTTCGGCCTATTCTGACTGACGGTTTCAAACGCTGCAGTACAACCTGACTTCTTCCACAACCTTGCTAACTTGCAAATCGAATGCCAGTTCGAATCTCTGCCGGGAAACCGGCGGTTCTTACTGTGGTCTCTCGTTGATTTCCTCACTCCATCTGGGCAAATGTGGCCGAGCAGTCTGAAGCATGTACTCTCTTCACTCGGAAGACGGGATTGTGGGTTCGAATCCCACACAAGGCATGGATGTTTGGCATATGTATGTGTTTATTCTGTTTGTGTTGTCCTGTGTTTAGCTACAGGCCTTGCNATTGTCCATAACCAGGACTTCCAAATAATTTCCAGTTCATCAACCATCTTACCACAGAGCAGCAAATGACTTGGTGGTCCCTGTGCAGAAGCACAGATACCTTGCTTCCTGCTTCATGCTGATTCCTTGCTTGGCTTATTTTTCGACCGTGAAGATGGAGGTGACGTATTCCATCGAAATGTCGATTAATTTTTAACAAACTACAAAGCATTACGTCACTGAAGCTAAACTCTTCATAATCATCGCTATGAGACCAGATCCTTCACTGAACACTGCCAATTGTACAAACTCCGTGGCCTGTAGTTCGCAAGCGAACTATACTGACCCAGCGACTGCCACTTGTCTGCGAAGTTAGTGCCAACTTTTGCGGATCACACTTTGCTCACTCAGTGCGTTTACGTGGGTGTACAGTTGCATCAGCGGGCGGTTATTTGCTTGTGAGAGACTTAATTAATCGCTTTGTCTTCAATATATTGTCGTCCGTTTTCGCAATAATCAGAAAAATTGAGAGGTAGTGAGGTTTTTCGACAGAAAATAGAAACTAACAAATTCCGGCCGATCGTAAAGCCTCAACTACGAATATCGCGCAGAATGGCGGTACTTCAAACGGGATTTAAACCCGCGGCTCCAGCGTCCATGCGAGAGAGATGCACTAACGCAATTTTAGTATTCCAGCGTCCATTCAAGTTTCGTATTAGGGAGGTCTTGTCTTCGAATCTCGGCCCAGGATAAGCTGTCCTGACTTCTTCGAGTTATTTCTCTGTTCAAGGTAATACTGAGAGTGTACCCTGAAATATGCAATGATCGTTTCTTTTCAGGTCCCTATAAATCTGTTTTTCATGCCATTCCAGGCGTGGAAACATACAGTCAGCTTATCGCAAGTGCCGACCAAAGAAATTTGGCTGGTGACTATATTTCCTCTCGGTATTCGGGAATGAGCCGGTCACAGTGGCCGCGCGGTTATAAGGCATGAACTGTCTTCGCTCGCTCGAACAGCGGGATCGTGGGTTCGAATCCCACTCAAGGCATGGATGTCTGTGTGTTTATTTTGCGTTTGTGTTCTGTGTGTAGGTAGCGGCCTTGCGACAGACTGATCCCCCATCCAAGGAGTCCTACTTACTGTGAATAGAATTAAGAAACTGAAAATGCCGCCAAGGTTCAACAAAAGGACGGTAGAGCTGTAGATAGATAATTCGGGAAGTGAATTTTTTTACTCTGGTCATCTCATTCAGTTATTTGTATCACAGAGGAAGCGGTGAACCACATTCAAGGAAGTTATATCAGTGTCATGATAACTCATAACAGTTTGTCTTTCAACTTAGATTTCCGAGTAGCTTATTCTAGGAGGACGTTTAGGACAAGCATTACGGCAACAGCAAGAAGATTTTGCGTAGAAAATACTGATACTTTCTTGGCGACCAATGTATTTATCTGTCCTGATTTTCAAAACTTCGCACCCTTCTGTCATCCTATCATTTCAAGGTATGTAACGCACGGGACTGAAGAAACGTTAAATAACTAACAGTATATTACGTAAGTGCCGGTCACGGTAGCAGAGCGGTCTAAGGCATGAATTGTCTTCGCTTACTCGGAAACCGTGATCGTGGGTTCGAATCTCACACAAGGCATGGATATTTGGTATATATATGCGTTCATTCTGTGTTTATGTTGTCCTGTGTTTAGGTAGACGCCTTGCGGCGAGTTGATTACCCGTCCAAGGTGTCCTACCATCCATAAAATGATCAAGAAATTGAGAGATCAGCCCTGTGCTCCAAGGTGGGAGTAAGAGGAGGAAAGAAAATNGGCACATGAATCATGTGATTGGCGGGTTCTGGCGTTAGCAACGGTGAACCTGTGGATTCCACTACCAGACAGTTATGTACACTGTTGATGGTAAAGTAAAAAAAGTAAAGCTATCCCTTTACCAGGCCGTGAAGGCCCATAGGGTTGTGAGACGTTGAGGGTCCCACATTATCTAGACAATCGGCTCAAAAATGGCGGTAAGGTTGTCAGCCTTGCGCGCTGGCCGCGCTTTACTCCCCAGGAAAATTATTTAATTAATTCCTGGTACCCATTTCTGTTAGAGGCTGAGTAAACCCCAGGGCCTAGTCCGGCTGGAAGGATTAGGTCAACTGAAAAAAATCCAATGACCTCATCGGGACTTGAACCCGCGACCTTCCGACTTGTAACATAGCCCCTAAAACCGCTACACTACCGCGTTCTCCCCATTCTAAGCTCAAAGCCTTTGTAATTGAAAAAGTTGCAGTTAAATAATTAAGATAAAAACCAATTGATACTCACAAGAAACAATGACTGTCAGGAACATTTGTAAGCGCTACATGTTTTCTTTCAAGAAGGAAGAGGTGGGCAGGGCATGTAGCACGAATGTGTGAGAAAAGGAATGCATATAGGATATTGATGGGGAAAGCCAGAAGGAAAGAGACCAGTTGGAAGACCAAGGCGTAGGTGGGTGGACAATATTAAAATGGATCTTAGAGAGATAGGATGGGATGGTATGGATTGGATTGATCTGGTTCAGGATAGGGGCCAGTGGAGGGCTCTTGCGAACACGGTAATGAGCCTTCGGATTCCATAAAATGCTGTGAAATTCTTGAGTAGCTACAGATTTGGTGACTCCTCAAGAAGGGCTGAACTCCATAAGTAAGTAAATACATGTTTCCTGGCTGGAAGAAATTTTCTGTTTACAACCACTGCGTCCAGAATTACTCCACCCAGTCTATTTTCCATTGTGGACCGGCGGCTCTTTCCCCGAACCTACAGGACACGGAGTGAAAATCTGACCACTACCCCCATCTAGTATAGAGTTCTAGAATACATGGATCTTTACATCCACGCCCCTTCACGCCTTCATATCTTGGTGCTAATGCACGGATCACCAGATGCGATGGCTCTGTGAAACAGTGTGTGATGGTAAGTTTTTGTGTTGCAGGTAGGACAAGCTGCGCGCGGCGGTGGGTGGAGCGATGAGGCTGGGCCTCGTGTTCTGCATCGTCGTCATGTTGGCCAGTCACTCAGGTAAGAATGTGGGCCACTATACCGTTACGACCTCGCGTGCCTGTTAACCCTGCACAGTAGAGGTCTGGGGTTCCAGAAACATTTAAACTAATGAGGACAGATATTTGATTTGACAGCGAAACAAAGGGTCTCCAACTCAGAGGCGACAACATGTCACGTAACTCTCTGGATAATACCGAACGTAATGAGGTTAGGTTGACAGTTTGCGATGTTTCATAAAAGAAAATATTTGTGGTCTAGACAGGTTAACTTCAGTTGTTAAGACAATTAAATTATGGAAGTTACCATTGGCTGTTCATGTAGATATTAAGTTTTCGCAACCGTCAACACACGCTGCGCATAGCAAAACTCGCCACGGATATTAATTACATACCTTCAATTGTCTTTAAAATAACACAGTACTAGATTTGTTCGCACACTGAAACACGTTTAGGCACCAGTCTCTTAGTTCCTGTGATTGTCTGCAGTTATAAAGTTTGCAACTCAGTATTGTATGACACGTGCACTATTGAAATTTACTGTTCATTATTACTAACTTTTGTTTTGAAGTGATTGTCATACACGTGTGTTATAACTTTTGTTTTATTATTTATTCTTGGGGGGTGGAACTGAGTTCCGTGGCCCTGTGGCTGCAGATTGACCTACTTTATCACCCCCCCTGATAATGGTGAGGGAATTGATGATTTGGGATGATAACAGGCAGCAGAAAAGTGAAGTACTCGAGAAAAGGCTCTGCCAATTCCATCTTGTCCACCATAAATCCCATGTAAACTGCTTTAGGACTGAACTTAAGGCATATGTACTATCACAAGCATTGTAAAGGTGAAGTTGTCCCTATGCTTAACTAATTAAGCACTACGCCACGAAGGCGTATGGGGAGTGGATGAAAAGATCCACATTTTCTTGACCTTGGCACTAGCATTAACATGTAAAAATGGCTGATTATACTAAATTATATATATGTGTAGTTGACAGCTGAAGCATACGTAGAGAGATAACGAAGGTAAGAAATGCATTAAGAAGGAAATATGTTGGAAAATGGAATGAAATGAGACGTGTCTTGGTGAAATATACACTGAGGGTGAGACGGAAAGGCAAGGACTTGGTTAATAGCGGTGTTGGGTCTTTAGGTTCTGCTACCAGAAGTTTTTATGTTTGTGACATAAGCAGCTGTTCTGTTAGCAAAACAGAGCCCTAGACACGAAGTACGTATATGATGCCAAAACGTTCGGGAACTAAAGCCTTCTCTTTTGATTCAAGCCTTGATGAGAAATAGTATCTTCAAGGATGTCACTCAATGTAGTGTTGTAGAAGTTTGCCGAAGTTTCGAAATAAGTTGCTTCAGTCATCTTCAGGGTCGAAGTGTAAGCCTCTAAAACAATTAGCAAGAAGTAGCAAGTTGAGTGCTCTGCTTTCTTGGCTCACCTTCCGACCTTAAATATGGAGCCAGTACTTCCCTCCGAAACGTCTATAGACTAACACCAGATTACATGACGTCATATCATGGAGAACTCCGTGGCCTGTAGTCCGCAAGCGAACTATAGCGACCGCCGCTTATCGGCAAAGTTAGTGCCAGTTTTAGCGAATAGAGGGTCTCGCGTGGTCAGCGCAACAGATCCCCACGGCCGTTAATTTCGGTTTTCTAGACCGGATATATAAGGGGCAGTCAAAGGAAAACGGGTCACCACGCATAACTCACACGGCGCGCAAGTTGGTAACACTGGAATTTGCTTACGGTAAGGACAACTGGTGGGGACTCAGGAAAGCACAGTGACAACATCCCCTTGCACACGAGTCGTTTGTTTATTGTGCTGGAAGTAAGGTTAACGCTACGTGTGGTCGTCCGACATCAGTAATGGAGGCGGGTAAAGAAGAACAGCGAAGTGTAGTGCGCTTTTTGACTGCTGAAGGAGGAGGATGAGAAATTTATCGTCGCATATCTGTTGTTTACGGCGAACACAACATGTCACGTTCTGTTGTGCTGGCGTGGCATAAGAGATTCCGAGAGGGACGTGTGTCACTGCAAGATGATGGTCGCCCAGGACAGGCTCATCGTGTCATCACTCCTAATGTTATTGCTGCGTTGGATGGTCATATCCGGGCAAACCGACGGATCACTGTGGAAGAAATTAGTCTTTTGATAGGAATAAGTCACGGTTCCGTACACGCCATTGTGACAAAACACCTGCTGTACCGCAAAATCTGCGCGCAGTGGGTTCCACTTCAACTCACGGAGGAACAGAAGACTCAGAGAATGGCTGCATCACTGGGTCGCTTGCAACGATACCATGAGGAAGAGTATGCTTTTCTGTCCCGTATTGCCACTGGGGACGAAACTTGGTGCCACCATTTTGAACCCGAGAGCAAACAGCAGAGCCACCAATGGAAACACGTGAATTCTCTCCCATCGAAGAAATCCAAAGCCGTACACACAAGTTCCAGTAAAGTGATGATTACGTTCTTCTTCGACTGCAAAGGCCTTCTGCTTGTCGAATTTCTCGAGCATGGGGCCACAATCAGTGCACAGTGCTATGAAGACACTCTGCAGAAACTGAGACGTGCCATGAAGTCAAACGCCCTGGAATGCTATCGAATGACATTAACCTTCTTCATGATAATGCGCGCCCCCACACTGCCAACTCTGTGAGGAATACGCTACAGAGATCTGGTTGGGAAGTGCTTCAACATCCCCCCCCCCCTACAGCCCAGATTTCGCCCCATGTGATTTTTACATTTTTAGAGACCTGAAGAGAGACGTTCGTGGACATCGGTCCTCGTTGTCCCATTGGTCCTCGTTATATAGCCTCGCGGCGGACCGCACAGAAAACACCGCTTCCAACAGTACTTCTGTTGTAGCGTGACGTCCCTGCTGTCGCGGGGAGGTGTTTATTGAGCCATCGCCTAGCAACGGGTGATGTATTTGGTAATGCGGCATGGCGTGTTCCATTGTTGCGTTCCTGTTTATTGTGTCACTGCCTAGCATTGCCTGCCTCTTTCATTCTACATGTTACAATATGTTATTACAGAACTAATGTAACAACTGTTGAGAAATCAGTCTCATCAATTGTTACATAAGATTTTTCACTATTAGCTCCTGCTTCCTCCCGTATTACTTTACAGCCCTATATGTTACCGAATGAGGCGTCGAGGCTGTTGTTTAACGCCATCTCCAACTATTAACACACACAAATAGTCAAACAAACCACATTCTTTATATAGAATAAAAAACTTCATATATCCTCCATAAATATTAGCAGAACTCACAAAAAAGACACGGTACAATTAAACGGAGGACTGCCAGCTTGTTTATACCGAACTGCATAATTTAGTTCATGCATCTTATCAACGCTGGACATTTCGTTGCTCTGGTAACCCGAAACTGCGTAATTTCTGGCCTTTCATTTTATATTTTCATTCATATTCACATATATAGAATAACATGAAAGTAAAACAGCCATCAGTGATGTATGTTGTTCATTTCATGTTCCAAGAATATTTGTCGTCCGGTTCGAAAGTTTTAAAGAGAATAGAAAAACACAGATAGACCTATATATGTGCATCATAATACCAGTAATTTTGGTCAGATATCCTCAAGAAAAGAGGCAACGTGAGAAGATAATATTTAAACGAATCCGAGACAAATGGACTGTGAAGGTGCAGACTGGATTTAATGGATCAGAAGAAGGTTCAATGACTGACCTTTATGAACAAGTGATGGACGTTCAAATTTCGTAAAATCAGCGAATTACTTGCCCTACTGAATAAACTGTTCAAGAAAGACCTTCCAACATGAAGTTACATGGAAGCTTTGGCTCCGTCATCATAACCATAACAATTATCATAGCATGTTAATCATACTCCGTGTCTCCCGACTCCGTCTCTCTTAGCGCAGACACTTCAGGCTAGCCTTCCTGTGTTCGACACCAGACAAAGCTACTACCGTACGTCCAGTGTCTGTGTGCTGTCACGCGGATTTTAATTCCCGTACGAAATTAGTTCGTCGTTTCTCTTCACGCCGATCTGTAATACAGTTACATATCTTCTATAAGCTAAGCTGGCTATCCCTGTAACAGGCCGTGGAGGCCCACTAGGTTTGTGAGACATCGAGGCTCCCACATTATCTAGATCTAGACTATGGTTCACAGATGGCGGTGAGGTTGTCAACTTTACGCGCCGACCTCCCTTTACTCCCAAAAAGATTGCTGGCACTCATTTCTGTTAGAGGCTGAGTCGACCCCAGGGCCATAGTGCGGCTGGAATGAATAGGTCAATTGAAAAATCCAGCCACATCATCGGGAATCGAACCTGACCTTCCGGCTTGTAGCATAGTGCCTCACCCAACTACGCTACCGCGTGCCCCTATAAGGTGGTAGTCAACGAAATTCGTAATTACTAGTTCTGCCTATTTCATTCTTTAATAACAATACATAACGCGTATCTTTCTTATTAATCGTCTTCCCTTACTTTATGTAGCTGGGTTATCTCAGTCAGTACAGCGGTGTGGTACGGGCTGCAAGGCCGGGGTTCGATTCCCGTTAAAAGGGATTCTTCTTTTCTCCACAGCTTCCAGACCGGCTCTGGTTCCCACCCAGCCTCCTATATAATGGTTACCGGGGGCTTTTTCCCCGGGGATGAAGGGATCTGAGCTTGAAAGTACCATTCACCTCCATCCACTGCCTAGGTCAAGAATGGTGGGGATGTGCCTCCACTTCTCAATGCGTCTTCATGACGGGGTTCTTAATTAATTAAGCATAAGAAAAAAATACCTTTTACCCTTATTTTATAAATTAAGGCATGCTTATACTCAGTGGCGTGTCGTGCATGGAAGCAAGGGAAGCATGTTTCCGTAGTTAGGAAACGAAAAGAAAAGAAGTCATATACAAATAATTCAATTTGAATAATAAAGATGTGAATATTGTCATTTGGCGCGTGTTCCTGCTCAAGGCCACATGCCTCCTCCTTCTCCCTTTAACTGCTTGGTGGGACGGACAAGTTTCATTTCATTAATCTTCGTAATAATTCGTCTAATTCGAAGGGCAGAAGGGAAGCAAATTTCGGTTTGCTGGCTAGACCAGCGAAGGAATGTATTCCTTAGATGATTATGTGAAAATTAACTGTTTATGTGTGATTTCAGCCTTGTTGGGTGTTATAGGTAACATTAAGTTTTATTAAAATATTTTAAGTGTATATTTATATGGCGTAAGATTGTATCTGTGATCGTATTTTGACGCATCAGAGGAAGCTATCCGCGTTTAGGGAAGCAAGTCTGATATTGTGGTACGAGGCGCAGGGGCGTGATTAGACTACACGCACAGGCAACAGCTAAAATGAATGCTGGCAGACAATGCGACTGCGACTGTGCAGTCGAAAGCCTTTTAAAACGGGGGTTTAATAGCAGGGACTTTTCTGAAAAGAAAATAATTATAGAAAGAGGACGACCGACATGAGAGAGTTGCCAGAACTTAAAGCACAAACCAAATTATGTGTGAGGAAATTTAATTTGGAACAGAGTGGCTGTCCGGTTGCCGTAATATAGGAAAATTGTTTTGTTGGCCATGCCTATTGTTTCTCAATGAAAAAAATTGTATGGAACAAGACTGGGTTTGGTGATATCAAGAACCTTCATAAAGCATTGAAACGACATGAGAACTCTCAGACTCACATTATTTCAACAATGCAACTTGTTATGTTCGGGAAATCTCGAATTGACTGTCAACTTGACAATCAAAAGGGTCTGACGATACTATAGCAGAATGAAAATGTGAAAGAAAATAGAGAAATAATGAAACGCTTGATTGACATCATCTTCCATTTAGTAAAGTGGCAACTTGCCCTCCGTGGTCATGACGAAAGCGTGGATTCTATCGACCGAGGTAATTATGTGGAATTAGTAGACCTGTTGAGGAAATATAACCATAAAATCAATTTTTACCTTGAGAACAGTACAGTATTTACAGGTTTATCGAACAGAATACAAAACGACCTTATTGACTCAATAAGTAACGTAAATTTTGGTGAGTTGATTGCTATCAGTTCGTTTATTAGATACCACTGCTTCCCTTACCAAAAATAGTACCGCACGCCACTGCTTATACTAATGAATAAGTGCCATTTTTACCCGAATATTAATTTTGGGAACATCCAAGTAATTAGATAAAACAAATTAGAATTAACGTTTCATTTCAGTTTATTCAATGGCACTTGGAACTGATTCTGCCATTTTTTCTCACTCCTCTCGCTCCCACTTTGCAGCACAGGGCTGATTTCTGAGTTTCATGATCATTTTACAGGCGGTAGGGCTTCTTGGATGGGTGATCAGCTCGCCACAAACAGAATAAACACACACCAAACATCCATGCCTTGTGTGGGATTCGAACCCACGATCCCGGCTTCCGAGCGAGCGAAGACAGTACATGCCTTAGACCGCTCGGCCACCATGACCGGCGATTCTGCCATTGGTTCTTCGTTGTTTGAAGTCATTACAGAAGCACAGAAGCGAGAGCGCAGTCTTCATCATGACAGTCTGATTCTTTTGTTCAATGTGAAAATTATTCGAAATTACAAAAGTTCTGCATATGCATACCAAAAGAAACGTAGTATAATCTCACAAGGCGTAATGCGGCCTCTGACTGCTGACTGCTCACTTCCATATAATTAATAGAATTACGAGCAGTTAAGTTCTTTAAACGTTAATGCATCAGTCCCTAACCAATCGCAGGGGTTAAACTAAAAAATACCGCTGTTGACAAGACAGAGGCCTTATGGGAATTTGGAGGTTTGGTGAAACGCAACGGCTTTTGACACCCACCAACACCAAAGCTGCCTGTCCCCTGACTAAACAGAATTAAGTAAGATGTGTAGAAAGAGATTGGACATAAAATCTAGTGACGTATCGTACACTGCAATGATCTGGATGCCAGAAACTTGTTCCGGAGGCCGCTGCAGACCTCGCCTTGGGAAATGTGGATCTCTTTCTGTGGAGGCCACCGGATTTTTCCGTGTGTAAAAGTAGAAATGTAAAGTTGTCCTTGTGCTTAATTAATTAAGCACCACGCCAAGAATACGTATGCAGAGTGGAGGTATAACTCCACAATTCCTAAACTTGGCTTTAGATGGAGATGAGTGGTCAGCCTCACGCCACAGTCGATTTACTCCCGGGGAAAGAGCCCACGGTACCCATTGCATAGGACATTTGTTGGGTCCGAGAACCGGTCTCGACGCTGTGGAGTAGAGAAATATTTCTTGCCCCTGTCGAGAATCGAATCCAAGCCGTCCAGCCCATAACCCGTCGCTTTGCCGACTGATGTGTTCATTTGTATCATCTTTCTATAAACAAATTCAAAACTGCGGTGCACAATTCCATATACCGTGGTTAGCGAGGACTGACAGTATTTACTCAAATGATCAACAGATTCCATTTTATGGTATGCAAAGGCTCATTATCATGTTCACAAATGTGGGATATGAGGTTTTCGTAGCGGTGGTGATGTAGGATGTAAGTCGTATAATCTGCTGAAAGTCAACCGACATTTCGCAGAAACATATCGCCTTTTTGTTAGTTGCGTATTCTGTATTACGATATATCGTTAAATGAGAATTTAAAAGTGCGAAAACCGTCTCACAAAATCGCAATAAAAACTTTTTTCTTTCCTTTGGCCCTACAGCCCCAATTTGGGCCTTGGCCTACCTCCATGAAACTCTCCATTTCACTTCGGTTTTCTAGATCTTAGACATTCGGTAGGACTCCTTGGGCGGGTGATCAGCTCGTCGCAAGGCCTCTACTCTACTTGTGCACAAGCACTGAANCTGCAAGAGTACACAACAAAATACACTGTCAAAATTTTAGCTGCTAATACGCACTGCAAGTATTTTTTAAAAATTGCCGAAGTTACTCATTTTTTGTGTACGCGGAACCGCTTGTACAAGCGTACCAGAGGTTTGTACAGCCCCAGCTGTGTACTTGTCAGATTACGATCCATTTGTGCCGTGTTATCTCTCTACCGATGCACCGGAAGCCTAGGCTGAGAGTCAGCCGTGTTGCGTATTGCGTACTGCTCTGCTCTGCTAGGGATGGGCATTTCTCCAAGGGTCTGGCAGCCTATAATATTGGCCAAGTTCAGCAATTTTTAAAAAATACTTGCATTGCGTATTAGCAGCTAAAATTTTGACAGGGGATTTTGTTGTGTGTACTCTTGCAGTGGGGGGAGAAAAAAAAATCAGGGCAGGTTTCGACATGTCGGATCGGACCATTCCCTTGTTAAGTTTCTAAATATTTCTAAATAAATACTTGTCACGTATCCTGATTACGTGGCTAATAATTAATGAGTTCTGGATTAGATCAATCGATTTACTGGACACACTAGTCGTAACTACAAACAGTTATAACACTTCAAAATATCAGTGGCACAATAACACAAACTCTTGGATCCTCCTGGAACGAATTCGGTGGTTTAAATCAGTACGAAGCCAAGTCCAATTTCATAAGTCCGTAATTAAGTAATTCCGCAATCCAACAATTCCATAATTCGAGTCGAGTCTTACGTTATGAGCGACGGTCAGTCGGCCAGTTTGTCTTGGAATAAAGCACCCATCTGGGGCTTACGACCAGATTTTTATTAGTGCCAGACAGTTGCAGGTTTGTTGATGTGAGGCGCTCTCTCTGACGAGAGGACGAGTTTGTCGTTTACAATTGCTACTGGTCCTCGCCAGCGCAGTCATTCTGGGATCCGAATCCCGTAGGACTTGCCACAATATTTTACTGTTTCGGATTCTAGACTTCCCTTTTTGTCGCCTCCTACGACTCGCAGGGCTACGGTAGAGGTATTCGACCCCGCGTCCACAAGGGATTCCGTAATTCGTCTGGCAAACACGCCTGTTATAATGTTTCGGCGAACCGTGTAGAAGTCACCTCTTTCAGCAGTACAGTTATTGCGTTCTTAGTCGTTACTGTGCTTTGAACGGTCCGTTGCCGCGGACATCGGCTTTCAGACAGTTAAAAGTTACACTGCGTGTATCAGAACCCTAGTAACCGAAGTTCCATAGTTGACTGTGTTACCTACAAAATGTTTATCGAGCCGTTGCCTAGCTATACATTTTACAACATAAATCTGATAAAGTAAAGTAAAGCTATATCTGTACCAGGCCGTGAAGGCCCATAGGATTGTGAGACGTTGAGGGTCCCACATTATCTAGACAATCGGCTCAAAGATGGCGGTAAGGTTGTCAGCCTTAAGCGCCGGCCGCGCTTTACTTAACAGGAAAATTATTTATTTAATTCCTGGTACTCATTTCTGTTAGAGGCTGAGTGAACCCCAGGGCCATAGTGCGGCTGGAAGGATTGGGTCAATTGGAAAAAATCCAATGACCTAATCGGGACTTGAACCCGCGACCTTCCGGCTTGTAGCATAGCCCCTCAACCAACTACGCTACCGCTGTTAAAATACAATATTATATAAAAGCGCAAAAATGGACAAAACAAATTCGATTGTTCGGATCCCAACCACCCATTACATAATGGGTACATAATTACGTACGAGTATATGTAAGTTACCAGTTACGACACAAGTACCTGCCTAGTCAATTTCGTATTCGAGTTCTGTAATCATGATGTGGGTCTTCGGTATTCGTGGAATGAATTGGAATTGTAGTGTTGATGATTTTAGGTCGCAGGTACGGTAGAGCAGAGGAGATGTGCTTGGAAGTTTGGGTGATATCGTGGTAAATGTCCAGGGGCACGGGTTGGTTGGTTGTGTGTGTGCGCGTGTATGGTAGTATTATTAGCTAGAATGGCAGTTTCGTGATAAGAATATGGGTGGCTAGGCTGACCTTCACCGCCAGCACCTTCTCCTGAATCGCATACAATACTGCAAGCATCACCATTACCAGTTCTGCAGACTCCTTCCCGAGGCCTCGAAGTACCTATACATCACTGATCATTAAGTCAGATTCCTCCATTTATTTACACTTCACCAATGGTTGATGAAATTATGTTACAGACACCAGACTCTGTGCCATTGCCGTTATATTCAAACATATTGTTTGCAGTTACTTCACTGTCACTTGCAAACCAACTATTTCAACTTTCAACCTTCACAACACACGTCATGCTTACTGTTTTCTCATAATCCAGCGTACAACGTCGAGACCACGGATTAATAACCTACAGCGAGACTACTGGAGAGAATAAAACAGCTAGATCTACGCTACTGACATCTTTTGAATAAAAATTATCGATATAAGCAGTATAAAACCTTTGCGCGGTAGATCGAATCATAACGTGACATTTGTAACAGGGACTGTCTCGCTGGCTCAGTCGGATCCGTGGAGCGGAAGATTATTTTATCTCATGTTGTTAAACATAGGTACGACTTATCGAAAATAAACAGCTTAGCTGCAAGACTGAATCTAGGTACTCAAATAATACAGGCTTGAAACATAAAGATTTTTATATTTGTACGACACTAACAAGAGCAAGTCTACACCGTTGGGAAAACCTAAAATAGTTTTTTATTTCAGTTTATCATGTGTCATCAAAGATAAGCCTCTTTTGCGAAGGCTTACGTTAAATTTTAGCTTCATATAAAATATGTTTATATTCGATAAATACAAAGAAAAATAAATATCACCTTAAGATTTATGGTGTGGGCACCAAATACCAAATTTAATCGAAATCCGGTTAGTAGTTTGGAAGTTGAAACATCCGGGGCCCACAGGAATAACGTGGGCCGTACAATAGAGGCAGCCTGATGACCTTGGCAGCATTCCTAGTGTGTGAGTCATCACTATGAAGACATAATGGGAACGCTTCTAAGAAGTGCCTGTGGTGTAGGTCAAGAGGTCAGCTGATGGAGCCTAACCTCAACTGGAGCACCCAGTCCACATTACAGCAACCTACTTGACAAAGATCAACGTCAATTTTATCGCCCCTTTCCTCGGAAATTTAAAGTAACATTTTTCTAGGCGTTTCTCTGTATATTTATTTGATGATAGTGTGCCCTATTCCGAGTTAATTGAACGAAAATCTACGCCCTCGCGTCTTCCCCGTTTGAATATCATCTTTACATCTAAGCCTCAGTCTCCCAGACTGTCGCTCTGAGATTTTATACTACATAATTTCTATGCTGTCATTTCCCATACGTGCTACATGCCAGGCCCACATAAGCTCTCGTCTTCCTATTGAAACCAAATATTTATATGCTCCCATCTTTTCCCGCACGTGCTGCATGCAATACCTACCTCATCTTCGTGATTTGGTGGCAGTCACTCTCTCAAGGAGCTGACCCCTTTTTGAGAAGCCGCCAATTGTGCAGCTACTCAAGAACTTCCCAGCATTTTATGGAACCCGAAGGTTAATTACCATGTTCACAAGAGCCCTCCACTGATCCATGTCTTGAGCCATATCGATCAATACCATACAATACTATCTCTTTAAGATCCTTTTTAATATTGTTCACCCACCTATGTCTTGGTCTTCCTAGTAATCTCTTTCCTTCTGGCTTTCCCACCAATATTCTATATGCGTTCCTCTTCTCCCCATTCGTGCTACATGCCCTATCCACCTCAACCCCCTTGACTTGATCATTCTAATTATATCTGGAGAATAGTACAAGTCATGCATTTTCTCCAACCTCCTGTCACTTCATCTCTCTTCGGTCCAAATATTCTCCTCAGCATCCTGTTCTCATACACCCTCAGTCTATGTTCCTCCCTTAATGTCGGAGACATTGTTTCACATCCATACAAAACCACAGGCGAAATTATAGTTCCATATATTGATTTATTGTCATGCGAATGACATATATTATGAATTGTTTTCAGTATCAATGTTTGCCCGTTCTCTCGATTTTTAGATGCAGAAAACCTCTTCAGCACACTGTTTCTCATTTAGAGTGTCAGCATATCTAAGCTCACTACCGTCACAAAGCACAAGTCCGCACATTGACAGAGGACAGCACCTTTGATAGGCCACAGACCTGCTCCCGACGTGATGATTGTGACGCGTCTGTCAGATATCGAATCCTTATCTTCCTGCATACATGGCGCTTGTAAATTACGTGAAAAATTTTAACTCATCAGGATCCAAACTTTCAACCTAGCGAATTTAATTATTTCTTATTCAAGGTTATGTCAAGGTCGTCCGGTCTCCGAAGGCTGAACTGACCTCGGCAGGTGCTGCCGCCTAGTGGCCTAGGCACGTTTCTTACTTCCGTCATCTTCATTTCATTCGAGCATCTTTTTTTTATATATTTTTTCCTTGACTTCTGTACATTTTTCTTTCTCACCTTTAGTTCTTGGGTTTCTCCTGTTTTCTCTTTTTGTCCTTATTCCCCGATGTTTATTTTTTTTTGTTTCTTAATCATTTTGCCTCTATAGCTACTTGTTTTCTCAACACATTTTTTCTTTTACCAGCCTGTTACAGGATTCCAGTGGCTTATTTGTTTTTTCTTTCCCTTCTTTCATTTACTCCCTACGATTTCTTCGTTCCAGTATTTCTCTTCCTTTTTCCTCCCATTTTCCATCACTTCGCTTGTCCTCCATACACATATATTTGGTTCTTATTTTTCTTTCAACAGTTTCTCTCTGTTAATAATTTCTCTGCATCGTTAATTTCCTCCTTCTCATTTACCTTGGCCATTTCGCTTCCTTCTTGTCTTTAAATTGTCTTCTCATTCTGGCAGAGCAGTCAGTATGCATCTGCCTCACTGGACCAACACTGGTACCTTCTGCTTTCAGCACTCAGTATTTGCCCCTCATTTATTGAATGATGCACAACCTTCGCAAATACTGAAATACCACTAAAGAAACTAAAAGCAAAAATATTCTCTGCTACATAGTAGAATGCGAGAACGTGGTAGTGTAGTTGGTTGAGGCACTATGCTACAGGAATGTCGCGGGTTCGAATCTTGATGAAGTCATTGGATTTTTCAAGTGACATAATCCTTCCAGCCACACTATGGTCCTAGGGTCGACTCAGCCTCTGACAGAAATAAGTACCAGGAATCTTCCTGCGGGTAGAGGGCGGCCGGTGGGTGAGGCTGGAAACTTCATCGCCATCTGTGTGCCAATTGTGTACGAAATATGAGAGCCTCGACGTTTCACAACCTTATAGGCATCCACGGCCTGTTACAGGCCTATCTTTACCTTTTACCTTATAGAATGGTAGATAGTGAGAAGCAGTGTGACCTACTTGCAAATGCTAGGTGAAAGGAAGACTCAGGAATGGACTGTTGGATCCGAGGTTCTCACAGCTTTGGCTATAGCGCCTTGTAGTCCGTTGAAGGTCAACCGACGTTTCGGATAAATATGTCTCCATTTTAGCAGAGCTCTGCTTGGTTTGTTCTCCGACCACGAAGATATAGGCGACATGTTCTTCCAAAACGTCGGTCGACTTATAACGGAATACACGGCGTAATATCCAAGAAGACTGAATTCTTCAACAACAGGCTTTTAAACTTAGGCCTGCATGAGAGACAGCGAGCTTGGTATCTGGTATCGTATGGTTTACATCTTTGGATTCCAATTCTGGAATGGTAACTGTTCAAGGGACAGATACATTCATGAAGTCTGAAAAACGAAGTGATTGCTGTAGATGTAACAGATCCACACGTCCACAAACATTGACACTGTGTTCTGCTCGATGTTATCAAGAACAGAAACTGGATCTGTTATGACTGGCGCCCATAATCTGGAGGATTACAAAAAGAAATGTTGGCAGTAAGCATGTTGCAGCTTTGTTGTACCTCAACAAGGGTGTGCAGCAGAATTACTAATTAAGTTATGGATAATGTTGACATCACGGCTATGACGTTTTGAGAAGGTTGCTATAAATATGGAGCCGGGAATTCTCAGCCAGCATAATGACGGGCTACAAGCTGGACGGCTGAAATTCGACTCCTAGCAGGGACAACAGAATTTTCTCTGCTCCACAACTTCAGTGCCGGCTCTGGGGTCCACCTACACTCCGATGCAATGGGTCCAGGAAGCTCTTTCCCCGGAGGCAAAGCGGCACGTGCGTGAAGCTGACCATTCACCGTCTAAGGCCGAGGTCAAGAATGGTGGAGCTTATTTCTATTTAGTCATGCGTCTTCATGGCATGGTGTTTAATGACGGACAACTTTACTATTATAAACAGGAAATAAGCCTGGTTGCTATGGGGTGGGAGGAAGCGTTACATCGCTTCTGAGTCTCGTTAAGACCCCATCGAGTCTTCATGCAACAGAAAATTAACTGCACTGCATTGCAGCTTATTCTTATTTCTGTTGCATAAAGCCCATTGGCTTTACCTCAGCTGCCACTTCCTCAGGTCTTCTGACGGATATTCGGAAGAAAAGAGAGGGAGAAAGGAGGGGGTTAACTATAAGAAATACTTCAAAACATAATATGCATGTAAATTACGTAATTCTTTATTTAATTCTGATAGTGTAATAAAATACGTCATTATGTAACACGCATAAAAATGTTTCTATTTTTTTCCTCAGTTACAGTAGTATAATCAAAGATCATTCCTTTTCTTTTGTCTTCCTTTGATTGTTGTTTGCGATTAAATATATCTAGTTCTTTTTAATTACCGGATTTGGGAATAACGACACTTGAGCTGGGCTACTAACAAATTTGTAAAATTCTTGCCACTATTGCCAGCATTCTTACACAAAACTCTGGCTTCACTAATTCTACTCTCATTAGATTCCTTATGTTTGAAAATGCATTTCCAATGAAAAAAATTATTTAAGATAATGAGAATGGAGTTCTAGACCTCCGTGTATCCAGTAAAGCCCTGCAGCACGCTGAAGGCAGAAACGCAGTTTCTGTCTGAGAAGACTTATTTGCTGGATCCTCTTGTTAGTTGACTTCACTTAGCGGCGGTTTTTCAAATGCACCAGTCGTGTAGAATCGCTACATTCTCACCGCAGGATGGTCAGCAGAACTGTACTAACGGGATCTGAAAATAGTAAAAATACGACGAATATATCAAATATTTCGGCATACATTTCAAGAATTTATGGGGGACACGTGTATATTAATTTGTATTTTACATTAATTTTATTTAATAGTGTTATATTTTAGCGTCCTGTTGCACTGATTCATGTCCATTCATGTCCTGTGACTGCGTGTGTTATAACACACGCAGTCACAGGAGCAAGACACAACACAAAGTACAATACACGCATGAAAGTAGGAAGAATACTCCGATAGAAGAAAATAGGTGTGACTCGCGTATTGAGATACGACATAAGAATGACAAATCCTGAACAGTTTTAATATTTTTAATATTTAAAATTTATCAATATATATGACGAATATACATTTTATTTACTTTAGTATAAAGACAACAGGGCATGCAATGAAGTAGTTCGACGTACATCGAAAAGCACCTGAAGATGGCACTTTTGTGCTGAAACA